AAGTTTAGATTATCCCATATATATATATATATATATATATGAAAACTCTTCCCAACGCCTATAGTTGAAAATGAACAGTGATGAGGGTAATATATAGGAAAACTCTTCCCAATGCCTATAGGCAAAAATGAATAGTGAGGGTATATTTAGGAAAACTCTTCCCAACTCCTATACGCGAAAATGAACAGTGATGAGGGTAATATATAGGAAAACACTTCCCAACGCCTATAGGCAAAAATGAACAGTGATTTCGCCTACCCTCATCACCATCCAAACTTCATCGCACGGTCACAGTTGTCCGGTAGTGTTTCAATTTTCATTTTTTTCCTACGAATCCAAATTACTTGAAATTTAGAGCGTGTGTACATATTAGTGAGGCGCACCTAATAAAAATATGAAAAACATAATTCGTAAAATATAAATTGACCAAAGGTGAAAAATCATCATGAGTCTCTCAATTTCTATCCCTTAATCAAGCCAAGTGTATATATTGTGCTTGGCTTGTTTATGGTTCTTCTCGGCTTGTTTATGAGTTTGTTAGCTCAGTTTAAGCTCAAGGCAAGCTCAAGCTGACTCTCCAACTATGCCAGCTGAGGTTTAACATGTCCAAGGCTCGAAGCTTTGCCTCGCTTGCCTAGTTCACACTCCTACTAATAGATTCATTTTCCAAAGAACTTTCTCTTTCCATCTCTGAATATCATCTTTCCTAATTCTTTCGACACTGGGATTGACGAAGTCATCTTTTTTTTTTCCTCTCATAGAAACTTTTTATAGTTGCATCGGTTGTTTCATGGGCTGTGCATGGAACATTTTGGTGGGGTATCAATTAGTATGGATTCTCAGGTGTTGTTTCTTGAGCTTCAGGTTAATGGGGGATGAATATGGCCTGAAGATTGAATCCCTCCATTGAGCACTTGCACTTTCTGGTGCATTTTTTGTCATATTTTAGTTTCAGTCACGTGTTTGTTTGTCTATGGGTATTTAGTTCTAATTTCATGCTTGGTTAGTTGAGTCTAAAAGGATCGTCTTGTATGTCTTTGTGGTAGGCGAGGGAAAAGGAGATGAAGAAGTTGAAGGCTGCCCAGAAAGCAGAAGCAGCAAAGGCCCAGGTAATTACTGTTGNGGAATCAGCAGTTAATCAAATTAGAGGCTTACACAGTAGAATTTGATCTTTTAATTTGGAAAATTTGATTAACTTGAACAAATCATCTTGTCGTTTTCTGGAATAAATATCTAGCTAACTTTGATCGAGTTATAAAGCCTATTTGTTTGATATCCCATAGTGTTTACAAACCCATGCCAGACTCATCATTCTTTGTAAGTTGCATGCAGGCCCAAAAAGGACCAAATACTTCCAAGAAAAATGAACGCAAAGCCCTTAGAAAAGATGCTGAAGATGAGAACCCTGAAGATTTTGTAGACCCTGTGACTCCACATGGCGAGAAAAAGAGACTTTCTCGTGAGATGGCCAAGCAATATAGTCCTATTGCTGTGGAGGCTGTGTGAGTATTGTAATATCCTTTATGTTAGATGCATGTAAAGTACAAGAACTGTCACAAAGTTCATATGGTTTATCCCCTGCACTTATTTTTTTCATGATCACTCAGATGGTATGCATGGTGGGAAAAGTCAGGTTTCTTTGTGGCAGATGCTAAAAGCAGTAGGCCTCCATTTGTAATTGTAAGTGTTTCTGTTTTGCTGGTATATGAAGCATGCATCACCTGATATCATGAACTATTTTTTTTCCTCTCCCTGTTAGCTACTATTCTGTGAATGTTGGTGCTGATGAATAAATTGGAATTTTTTGATATTTTCTGATAGTCGTTTCTCGTCAGTTTTGAACCATCGTTGGCTCAAGGCTTGAAGCCATAGAATATTCGATGCTTTGATTATTCCTTGTAGGACTTTATTTATTTATATGATTATTTTCTTTTATAATTTGTGCATTTTTGTCAGCTAATTTAATAACATATAAGTTTATCAGGAACATATTTTTTTGTAAATCCAATTGGCATCCTTATTAGTTTCAATATTGTTCTCTGGTTGAGTCACTGTTTTCTATCAAAGTACTTAATTACTTGTCAAAGAAAGGGAAAAAATCTATGCTTTATTGTTGTGAATTTTTGCAGCTTCTTGAATATGTTTATTCTTATGCTGAGTTTTTAACATCCCTGTGGCTCTACCTGCCGATGTGAATTACTGGTACTGATTGTCTGCTTCACAACTTTTGGAATTTATTTATATAATCACTGGCCATCAACGCTCTTTTCTTTTTCTTGTCTATTGAAAAGCACTGATACTGTAAGCAATCTGGAACTAGGTCTTGCACTTTCAAAAGAAGAAAATGTTTTGAGTTCTCCATCTTATTGAGTGATGGATCTTGTCATGGTTAAGAACTTAAGATTGACTGGTTGGTGGAGATATGTAGTTTGAATGAAGTCCTTTTATATTTTCTTGCTGCAGCGTATAGATTCTAGACATGTACTGAATCAGAGCGTACTACAGAGTCTTGTCCTATCCTCATTTTATTGAAGTATGAAATTGGTTCATTTGGCTTGTGATGAAGCATTCAACCTTGATTACTGTAGATCACAAATTTTCCATTTGATGTCAGTATTGGATTGATCCTGTAGAAACACAGCTGTGCTGGTTGTGCCTGTTTTTGACCATCTGAATGGTTAGATGAGATTAACTCTATATTCTACGAAAGTAAGACTGACCTAGCAGTTTAAATGTTTTCTAAATATGACTCATTGGAGTCTGAGTTGATTGTTGCATTTAGTTGTCCCTCATTATTATTTTAATAAGATTTGGTTCAATAGTTTATATTGTTCATGCACCAAGTCGACTCATTGAGTCTTTTCCAGCTAAATTTCATGTATGCCCTAAGATATTCTGTTTTGCAAAGATTCCATAAAAATCTATCAAGACTTGGGACTCTCAGAATATTATGAAAAACTTGGCTTGATGAGTGAATGGAAGAAAAGGAATAAAGGAAAGAAGAATTTTCGAACCCAATTCATCGTTATTGTGAAGAGAAGGAAAGGAATTGGGTGGAGATGGGGAGTGATGCAACTGGTGAAGGCAATTAGTTGGACTTTTAAAAGGGTTGAATGACCTAAAGAGTTTCAATGCTAGTGAAAATTAACTGCGTTCATACTCGCCATGTGCTATTTAGTCAAGAAATAACATGAAGTGGCTGGGCCTAAGTCCTAAAGCATATTCTTGATATGTAGAGAAATGCTTGTGCTTTCCGTACGTAGATACACAGTAGTGCTTGTTGGGAATATCTTATTTCATTTGAAATGTCCAATATTAGGGAGGCTTCTAGCGGGAACTTAATGCCATTGCCTCATTTTCACCAAGGCCATGAGTAATTGGAGGAGATATTAATACCATCAGATGGTTCAGTGAAACCAACTGCTCGGCTAGTATTAAGGCTATTCTCAAACTTCCTCTCTCTTAATGATCTTATTGAAATCTTGCTTTTGCTTCTACATATATTTGGTCTAACCACTCCTCTGACCCCACCCTAGCTAAGCTTGACAGTCCTTGATCTCCCATTAGTGGGAAGAGAAGGTTCCTATCTCTCATTCCATTGCCGCCTTTAAATCCACCCCTGAACATAAACCTATCCTTCTAGATACTCCACCACCTTTGTCTTGCCGAAAACCTTTTAAATCTGAATTCTCTTGGTTAAAAAACTAGACTTTGACAACCTCTTATGGTCCTGGTGGGCCTCTTTCTCTGTCCACGGGTGGGCAAGTTTTAGGCTTCAGAAAAAGCTTCTCCTACGTAAATTGGCCATCAAACAATTATGCTGCAACATCCTTAGGAATTTTAGGGCACGTTTGGTTGGTAAGTAAATATTTCCCCATGAAAAATACCTACATGTGTAAACACTTAGCAGGAAAAACTTTTGCAGACTTTCTTTTCTCCATGTTTGTTAACACATTTAAAAAGCATTGTGTAATGAATTTCATATGTTTAGTAACTTGTTTGGTAACTTGATTTAAATATATTTTATAAATATATACTTCAATATTTATATATTTAAATAAATTTAAATGTATTTCATAAATATGTTAAATAAATATATGCGTTATTTAGTATGACTAAAAATATATAGTTATTTAAATACGATTCAAATATTATTAAAATATTATCTACTAAATATTATATATTAAATATTATTTAAATATTAAATATGAAATATTATATAATTTATTATATTGTAATAAAATTTATTACATATTAAATATACTATATTTATTAATGCAAATATATATTAATAAACTTTCATGGACACTTTGGTCAAGTTGGATGGATCTCATACTAAACATGCAAGTTACACTCTAATGAGGAAGGAAAATTTGTGGATAATCATCAGATCTTTTATTGCTTTCTTTTGACGTGAGAGGATTACTTTCATTCCCATTCTGTACTGCTCCTCCTTGTTACTCTCCTCAAAGAGGGCTTTTGGTTTGTTCAATTGTTCTCTCCATAATTGCGAGGAACTGATACTTAGGCTGGAAAATTTTTCAGTACATTCTATTGAAGTGTATATTGGTATTGTTTTTGGAGAAGTTATCTTTTAGGAAAATGATGTGCCCCCCTCCTTATATTTGTAATCCCGAATAAATCCTTGGGTCCATGAAAGCCTATGGCCCCCTTCCAAGTTAAAAGAAAAGGAGGTTGAACAACTTGAACTCCTATCCTTGTTTCATTGTCCAAATTACTTCATTTATCCTTTTTGTATTTTCTAATAACTACATCGTATAAATGAAATTTGGAATGCCTCTTTTAACCTTCTTGTGAGTTTCAGGAGATGAGAGAGAGAGATGGGGGTTCAAGGGAAGTTGAGAGGGAGAGATAGAGGAAGGAAGGGGTTCCCTGGTGAGGAAGAGAGAAAGAGTGGGAGTTTTTCTAGTGTTCGGATGAACGGTTAATTAGAAAGAGTAATAGGATGAATATTGTAATTTGGACAATGGAAAATGTGTAGAGGGGGTTCAATCTCCTTTTCTTTTAAAGTGGAGGGTTTACATGGACTTTCCATGGATGCGAGGGTTTAACGGGGATTACTATTACAGAGATGGGGGTTGTATGTCTTTTCTCTATTATATTAATTATATGTATGTTTACTAAAAATCCACGAGATGTAGGTGTTGGCAGCTCATAGACTGGGTGCTCTTTAAATAAGAAAATCAGTATGTTGAGAACCATTTGCTCAAAAATGTTAAGCAGTCTTTACAAAAAGGTAAGCAGAGGTGGGAAGAAAAGAGAAGTGCCATATGTGGGTGTAAGAGAGAAAGTAGATAGGAGGAGCGCATAAAATTTAGAGAATGTCAAGTAGGGAGTAAAGGGAAGTGGCCTAGTTGGGTTGAAGAGCGAGAGTAGAGTAGGAGGGCAGAAAATAGAGTGAAGGTCAAAGATGGTTGGGAAGGGCGAAGCGTAGAGAGAAAGAGGAGATGGTTTAAAAATAAGAACAAGGGCATGTTTGGGAGGAGAATTTATGTAGAAGGAGAGAGGTAGAAAGAGAGAGATGACAGAGAAAAGAGACAGAAACAAATAGCAGTAAAAAAAGGTGGCATCCCACAAACCGGGGTTCAACGCTAAGAAAGACCTGAAACATATAAAAAAGGTACTTGAAGTCCTCAAAAAAATCATTGTTATGTTGCGGCAGATGTGGGTGCAGCTCCTTGTTTTGCCAATGTGTTAATTATCGAGTTTGCCTCAGGCCAGGTATAATGGAAGTTGACTCAAAGTGGCCTATATAGATGAGCAATTTAGTAAAAAATATGGGTTAGTTTCCATGGCTTACATGAATGTCCATATGCCCATGAAATAACACTTTTGGAGTTGGCTTTGACGATAAGATGGTTGTCCCACATGGAATCTTTTGAGGGCTTCAAGGAGAGCGGTTGCTTGAGCCCAGTTTGAGTCAGCGAACCGATTGGAGGAATGGAGAAATGATCAAAAGTCGAAACCCTCTTTCCTTTCTGGAAATGCCACCATCGTCCTGGGTCCCCTATAGAAAATCTGTTGATTTTGACTTTATGAGCCCACAAGGCAGGGGATTCCCCTCCTCTTGGGTGGGGGGATCCAGGAACCCCCTCCGAGTTGGAAGGGGTTTGTTTTTCTTTTTATGTTTGGGGTGGGGGGTCTAGATAGACATGGTGGTTTTGATCAAAGTATGTTGTCCAACTTGGACGTGTAACCTGATTCTGAGTAGCCCTTGAGGTATTTGTGGTTGTCCCAATCAATAGTGATATCTCTAGCTCTTTCTGGGGGTGCAGTCGAACTACTCGATTTCTTGGACGATTCTGGAGTTCCTCATATTCCATATAGACCAAAGGATAGCTGTTATGGAGGCTTTCCAAAGAAAGAGGCCTGCCGAGCTATATGGGGGAGAAAAGTAGGAAGAGAAAGGTCTTTGATGGTCTTAGCAGTTATCCATTGTTGGTAGAAGTCTCTTAGATGTTTGGCCAAACTTCGGAAGCGAATTTGTGGGTTTCTAGAAAAGTTGTTACAGGTTTTTATGGAATTTTTATTTGTATTAGTATGTTCTTAGGTACAACATTTATGATTTGATGCAAAATTTCATGGTAAATATGCACAATAATACTTAGAATTAACTTACAGTGGTTTATATGGCTTACAATTTTACCATCAAAACATGCACGACATTAATTACAAGTTAAGTTTCAGAACATTGAGATTAGGTGTCATGCACCAGAACTCTTCAGACTCCAAGACTAGTTGACCTGCTATCCATAACTGATTGGTTATTTTGAGATGGAAGGCGTGGAGGCAGCAAATATGATTTTAGGCCTGCTGGAGTTGGATGCTTCCATGGTTGAACATGTGAATGTAATGATCTGCTATGTAGGTTAGAGAGTAGGAATTGATTTCTTTGGTTGGAGTGAGCATTATCTATATGACTGAGGATATATGATCGATGTTTTTTATATCCACTGTTCATAGAAACAAGGTAGTAAGGTTATTGCACAGCAGAGAGAATTAGCTTGGGTATTATGGCTTATTTCTTTATGATGTTCATTATCATGACTGATATGGAGTTATAAGAGACTTTTCATAGGCATAGGAAGAGGGATTTTCTGGTTTCTAAATTCTCTTTACCTACATGAGAGAATCAGTACAGGCTTGGGGGAATTTCCACTTTCTAAGTTATAATTTTATTCAAAATATCTCTGTAACTTCTTTTTTTAGCAATAAGTGGCGAGCTACTTTATTTGCTGCCACTGATCCTTCACATATACAAAATGATGGTTGATGCATGAGATATTATTTATGTTTCCAGAAGCAAACCAGGTCACTGTTCCCTGCCAATTTTTCTGTACTTATATATTGGTTTGATTATAATTATGAGATTCCCACGCTTATTCTTTGGATCTTTTTTTATGCACAAACGTACATGCATGTAAACATCCATCCATATCCGTGCTCTGTTCTTTGGATCCACTGTACTCACAGACACATGCACATATACATCCATTCATATATTTATACCGATCCTCGTATGCATCAATGTTCAAGTACTTGAGTTGGTTCATATCTCCTGTGCATTTGTGCCTTTATATGCATGCTGCATGCTGCATGCATGTCGCATTTATTCATGTTAGACACATATCTGCATATTCATTGTGTTTAGAAACATTATTTGGTTTAGTAATTACGTTTATGGAAATCACATATTTGGTTTAGGCAAATGATCACTTTTCTTCTAAAGATGCTTGGACTTTATACACCTCATTCTTCTTAACAAATCGGACTTGTACAAGTGATCTTGAGACTTTGATGATGGCAAAGGTTCATACCCATAAAAGAAGTTGTGTCCCCAGAAAAGTAACAGGTCCTAGCTCATAATCTGGCCGCGCAGGGGCGATTTGGTCGTGAGTCTTCTAATACCCCTACCTTATAAATATGCACATATATGTATATATTATATGTATGAATGCATATGTATGTAGTGTATATGTGTCAGTGTTCAAACAAGCGGTCTACTCAGCGCTTAGGCATAGGCAGCCAAACTGGGTTGCAGTCTCTGGGCGACTGCCTAGGCGGTACGGAACCCGCCTAGGCGGGCGCCCAAGGCCTACGCCCCGCATAGGGGCAGATTTATTTATTTATTTTTGTTGTATTGATTTTTTTTGAAATATAAAGGGTTTGAAGGATGGGTCTTAGGTTCATTTCAAACCTAAACCCACAAGAACCCATTTTAGAGAGAATGAAACTTCAAGAAAACTAAATTTTGTGACTTTCATTGGATCGAAGTGTTTCTCAAAGTTACGGAATATGGATCCAAACATTATCCATGTAGATTTGATTTAGTTTTGGAGTTTTATAATCCTATTAGAGGGTGTTTTTTATTATTTCAGCACCAGAAAACATCTCAGAGGTGGGAGTTTGGAGTTCGAGCAATCAAAGTAAATGCAAAAATTTATTTTTTAGATTGCTTGTTTATTTTGAGATGTCTTCTTCAGGATCTAGTCGAAGTGGAGATCTGGGTTGGAAATATGGATATAACCCTAATCTAAATGACAAAAATTGCATTATAAGCAATTTTTGTGAAAAAGACATGAAAGGAGGCATAAACCGATTGAAGAAATATCTTGGCGGTATTAAGGGTGATGTTGTCCTTTGTAAAAATGTTCCTGAAACTATCAGAGAGGAGATTAAGCATTATATGAATTCTGTAAAACAAAAACAGGAACAAAATCCTTGTCATTTGAATAGGTCTATATCTTCTACTTTTAGAAGAAGTGATCCGGGTTGTATAAGGTATAATTTTTGTGAAAAAGATACCAATGGGGGTATTAACCAGTTCAAGAAACATCTTGCCGGTATTAAAGGGAGTGTTGCTTCTTGTAAAAAGGTTTTTGAAGCTATTTGGGATGAGATTAGACAACTTTTGAATTTAAAAGAACCAAAAAATGATGAAAATGAGCCTTGTTATGCGGAAATATCTTCTCCAAGTTCTTCTAGAAGTGGTGATCCAGGTTGGAAGTATGGTTATAATCCGAATCTGAATGACAAAAATCGTATTAAATGTAGTTATTGTGGAAAGGATACTAATAGGGGAGTTTATCGGTTTAAAATACCTTGCCAGTATTAAGGGGGATGTTGCCCCGTGTAAAAATGTTCCTGAGACTATCAGGGAGGAAATGATATAATATTTGAGTTCAGGTAAGCACAAAAGGATAGAAAAGTGTAGAGCAGCCAAGACTCCTAGGGCCTTATCTGTACATACTAGTAAGAGGGAGGTAAAAGAAGAGGAGGAAGAGGTAGATTTAGAAGAAATAGAGGAGGACAAGCGTTATATTGAAGAGGGAGATGACTCTGATGATGATGGCTTCGATTCTGATACATATGATGAAGCTTACCCTATTCCTTCTGATGATGATGACAATGATGATGACTGAAGAGTGAAGACTCTTGGTGTTGAGTGTTGACTATTGTATTAAGTGTTGACTATTGTGTCCTAGATTGTATATTTTCTGAATTTCTGTGTAATTATCTTTTCTAATTTTTAGTTTCTAGTTCTACTTTCTAGTTTCTAGTTCTACTATCTAATTTTTGTGTGTACCGTCTACAGTATATCAGAATATCAGTGTATGCTTGTATGGTTTTACTGTTTTAGCATTGTATGAAAATATGGATTATGGCTTATGGATTATCAAAATTATCTTCTCAAATTCTATCTTTTTTTTTTAACTGGGATTATGGTCTTATGGATTATCAAAATTCTTATGTATTAATCATTATCAGTCATCACTCATCAGTTTTTTCATCAGTTTTTTTTTAATCAACTAGGCCGCCTAGGTTCTGAGAGCTCGCCTAGGCAGCCTGGACCCCCTTGGTCGCCTGGGTGGCGCCTAGCGCTTTTTGAACCACTGATATGTGTACTTGAAATAAATTGTACGTCTTATATATAATTTTACATGTAATTATGTATGTGTATTCAATTGAACATTAAACAATTGAACTATAAGAAATATCGAAATTGTGAAAATAATTAGGTAAATGTTGAATCACATAACACAACTTAAATAACTTTTGTCTTAATTTTATTAGAAAACCCAAACCTTGGGAGTGGTGGAGGGGCTGGATTACCCCCATCCCCCTGCCCAAATATGGGGAGGAAAGATGAAAATGACCATGGCCTGAGGACCTTTTTCACCAATTGAGCTGTGGGCAGCCTGAGGTGGGCTGAGGTGCTAGATGTTGCCTCATGTTCCTCAGTGCTCACCTAGGGGGGTCACCTTGCTGTCACAAGCTGCCTTGGCCCCTACCCTGCCTCAAGGTACCCAAGGTGGGCACTTATTGGCACTTCAGATTTAACATGACAATTGTGATCAATTAATATTGGCGTGCAACCTCAATAGTAGATTGCTTAGCAGATCATGGGTCTCAGTGAAGATTTTTGGCTTTGAGATTCTAAACCACTGTGGTTTGGTTGTATGATTTCGTTCATTTTTGTGATTTGTTATATGGCCTTAAACTGAAAATTATTGCTAACAACAGTAGAGAAGTGTTTGATTCCACTTCCAGACCATATTTTTTGTGCTTGTAGATAATGTTTCTGACGACTGAGCTCTTGCATTTATTTGCTACATGCTCACAGCTTAAAGTAAAAATGTAAAGTTCATCCAGTGTTTGCGTTATGAGTTCATAGTCCATCAATTTTGTGATACAAGTGTAAATAAATGAGCTCATCAATCTGTATATCTTGTACTGAGATCTGAGATCTTAAACTTTGAGAAGTTGACCTTCTATATTAATCCTGCCTGCTTTACAAGGTTCTGCCACCACCAAATGTGACAGGGGCATTGCATATTGGGCATGGTCTTACCACTGCAATTCAGGTTTCTTTCTATTCTTCCCTTATGTCATTATTCTTTTCTGATTTCTTATATATTCAAAGACTTCTTGTTATGTTAGATTTATAACTGGTAATGTTTAATCCCCCTTATTCAGGATACCATCATTAGGTGGCGGAGGATGAGTGGTTATAATGCTCTTTGGATTCCTGGCATGGACCATGCTGGAATAGCAACACAGGTACTAAATTCCTTATCAATCTATGAACTGAAACTGTATTTTGCTTGGCTTACTGGGGTAAAAAACCAGAAGTTTATATAATAGGGACAATAATATGAAATACTTAAAAAGATGATGCTAGTGATGCTTCCTTCTAGAGAAAACAAGAATAGTTTATAAATGATGAGTTCGTATTCAATTTTATCACTTAATTATTAACCCTTCATGTGTATTAACGACAAAAAAAATCCATCACACATATAAATCATTTATACTCATCACAAATTCTCTTTCTTTTGATAGGCATACTAAATTTGAATTCATCATCACAGCCATTCACACCCATAATCCAATATCAAATGACAGTGACGCTCCAATGACAAGACAGAAGTTACCTGTCTATGAAAAAACAATGGTATATTCTGACTTTCTTACCTCTCTAAGTGGTGCAGACCTAGTAGCTTGGAGCTAGGATTTAGCGAAGAAGATAGAGAAGATCCACAACTAGAGATGTAAAAACCAGATACAAAAGAAAGAGCACTTGCTGCTCTAGGGTTTTGAATAGAAATCCATAACATGATCGTCCATTATGCTTGAGTATATTCCTTATGTAAGAGAAACCCAAACAAGACTTAATCTTGGCCATCCTTCTAATCTCATAATCTCATCATGACCCTTTATTATAAAAAACTTTAAGTGAATAAAAAGACAATAAAGACACTAGAAATTACTACTTATGCCCCTAACTAAATAAAAAGACTCAAGAAATAAAGAAAAAACATACTAGGACAGCTTCAATGACTAATTTTCCTTTTTGCGGCTCCTCTTGTAAACTTTAAACTTAATCTCTCTTGTCTAGATATGTGAGAGCAGTATTTTGGATAGCATTAGTCCCCCCTTCCTCAAAAGAATTTGCCCTCGAATTCGCCGGCTCGTCGTTCAAGGTATCACCACAATTTGTAGGGATTGTCATTGATCTTCTTCAAAATTTTGAACGATCCTACCTTGTTGAGACTTGGGATCAAGCTGTGCCATGTTATTGCATTCCCCATAGATATTTGATTGACCATGTCTTAGACCCATTGAGAATTGCCATACTTGTAGTACATAAGCACGAAACATTTGGCCCTTAACACATTGGAGAAAATATCACCAAACTCTTGGAGCGCACCTCACGTGATATTCTATATTCAACTAAAACTCCAAGAAGAAGATCATTGTGATCATTACCTCCGTCAACGCCATTCTCCCCACTACTTTCTATGGGGACTAAGAAACCAATTACCCCCAATATTTTTGGTAGCGACTCCTTGACATCCACTTTGTTCTTCATCAAAAATAGGAGTATCCACAAAATCCTCTCCAATGGTTGGATCTTCTTCATCATCCTCTTTACGGATTGGATCACCATTAAAGCTATGATCACCCACTTCTTTATCAATATCTAAATCCTCATCCAGGTACTTGTCAAACATTGGGGGTCAGTCCTGGTTCATAACATGTTGACCTTGAGAACCCTGATGAGAACAAAGTTTCTCTATGGTTTCCTTAGATAGACTTCCATAACATCTATGCTCAAATCATCATCGATTTCGTGCCTAGGTTGATGGAACTATGCACCAAACTCTTGACTATGATCACATCATGAGCCTGACCTGTCTGACACCAACTTGGTCACCAACTCATCTACCTCGATTTCATCCTCTTGAAATGGGGCTTCCATCTGAGCCAAACGCAAAGTTAGGGTTTTGACCAATCTCCTCAGATCTGCAATCCCTTCCCACAAACTAGCATCAAAGGCTTCTATGATTGTCGCTTTTCCTCCTTTGCGTGGAGGCATAGTTGTTGATCTATGGCACAAAAAGTAATGCTACAGTACTATGCTAGAATACCATTCTTATTGATCGTCGGGCTCTGATACTGACCTGACACAGACTTAGTAGTTTGGAGCTAGGGTTTAGCAAAGAAGAAGATAAGAAAGATCCAAAACTAGAGATAGATGCAAAAACCATAGGTAAAAGGAGCACTTTCTACTCTAGCTTTTGAGTAAAAGTCCATAATATCATCCATTATGCTTGGGTACATCCCTTATATATGAAAACCCTAAACAAAACTTAATTCTGGCGATCCATCTATTCTAATCCTTTCCCTTTATTATAAAAGACTTTAAGTGAATAACAAGACATAAAAGACTCTAGAAATTAGTACTTATGCCCCTAAATGAATAACAAGACTCAAGAAATACAGATTCAATGACTAATTTGCCCTAATGCAATTCCTCTTGTAAATTTTAAACTTATCTCTCTTGTCTAGGTACTTGAGAGCAGTATTCTAGACTGCATCACTAAGTTACCCTGCCTATAGACCCCTGAGGACGTGCTCTTTGGTATCCTTGCATATATCTCTCCACCTTCCTTAAGACCGTGGCCCTTCTAGTTCTTTTATTTTACCACATCTGCCAGGAGGGAAGGTTCCCAACTTCTCATGTGGTCCTCACATGTTGGAACCAGATCAAATGGTATGTCATGTGTTGGATTACCTGCAAGATTATATGATTTCTGGCTGGACTTGCAGGCCTTCTTTTACTTTAATGAAAAAAATGAGCAGTGGATATTATAAAATTTCACCCAAAAAAACAAGAAGACATAATACATATCATAAAATGCATGTATTCTGTCCCTGAATCTTATGATTGTTTGAAAGTTGTTTTTCTTTACTTTTACTCCTTTTTTGTTTTTCAGTGCTTTCTGCTCCTAATTGTATTGGTTGCTCTGTTAAGAACATATTTCTAGTGAGGCTTAACTTACTAAAGTAGCCTTCTTGACTGCACACCCATTGGAGAAGCCATGGGAGCAAGCTGTACCTTTTCATTTATTTTATGTTCGCAAAATTATAATATTGTTATTTTTAGGAGGTTTTTTTTTATGAGCATATATAATGACTGATGGAAAATCGTATAAGGTATTTCCTTTTTTTGCTGAAATTCAAAATACTAGTTCATTTTGTGCCTTTGTTAAGTCTTTGTGAAGTTGTTTTATTTAAAGTTCTGGGATGTGATTCTGCAGGTGGTTGTAGAGAAGAAGATTATGCGAGAAAGGCATGTCACTAGACATGATGTTGGAAGGGAGCTTTTTGTGGCTGAGGCGAGTATATCAACATGATCTTTTCTTTGTTTCAAAGATTTTTTTGGAGTGGTGTTTCACTTATTTCACATTGCTCTCTCTCTCTCCCCCCGTCCCTCCCTCCCCCACTTTCCTGAATTCTTGCTGTTTCTTACAATGAAAAGGTGTGGAAGTGGAAGGATGAATATGGTGGCACCATATTGAATCAGGAGCGCAGGCTTGGGGCATCCCTTGACTGGTCTCGAGAGGTATGACTGCTGTATAGAAAAATCTTCAACGGCATTATTATATGACTGGATTAATAAAAGTAAAATATGAAATGTGGAAGTTTAGGTGTTCTGTGATATTATAGTATTGGAAACAGTCTGATCTTGGGATGTTTCTTCTATCAGTACTTTACGATGGACCAAAACCGATCAAGGGCTGTGACTGAGGCCTTCGTAAGGCTGTACAAGAAAGGCCTAATTTATAGGTAACTTTCATCAACAACTTTCTAATGAATGCTTGCTGCTGAGGGTATTAGAAATGCTACATCCCCTCTTTTTGTTAACACGGAAGATGTTAATGCAATATGGTGTTTCCTTGTACTCTTAGATGAACTTTTCTGCTTGTGTTTTGATCGACTCTTCCTACTGATGTCCATGTTCAAAACTGGACATTCAACATTAGAAGTTACTATAGGAAGAAGGCCGTGGCATAGCATTAATTGATGTTTAAATATGTTAGCTTAGCACGCATCCATGTTCTTGCAACAAGGCTAGCCTAGCACGAAAGTTGTTGCGCTAACGTGCATCCTTTTTTTTTTATTGAATTCGTTGGTTTGTTTCTTTCCCTGTAGTTTATGGGATACATCAAACTAGCATGTCTAGTGATTTGTGTGGTATTTGAAACATCTTCACAGTTATATCGCAAATCTTTTAGATAGACCTCTTAAAGAGTTAGAAGGCCTAGTACACTGCGATGTGTGATTTGATTGAAATTACAATTCTATAGGTTCAGAATGAAAAACTATGTCAGCATTGACTTGGAAGTTGGACCTGGCTTAAAGTAATATGACTAATGGCTTGATAACATTTTACTCATTTTGTATATTTCCTATACATTCAAAATAATCCCAAGAGATATAGAAATTAGAGAGAAGTTTCTATGTGCATATCTATATATTTGCTGTCTTTACTCCCACATAAATTATAGTGCATTCTACATAATTATGATCTTATTGTTTTAAGGTAAAAAAGACGTGGTTAGAAGTAGTCTGGAAAGATATGGGGACTTATGGCCTCACTGACGATATGGCCTTTAATAGAGTAGAATGGAGAACCAGGATTCATGTAGCCGATCCCAATTAATTGGGACATGGCTTAAAAGGATGATGATGATGATGATGATGATGATGATTGTTTTAGTTTAGTAGGTTATGCAAAGACAGATAGGCACACACAATAGTGGTTTTCTTACATTCTTGGGATTTTAAAATCTAAATACATATGATTTAATTTATATATAGAATTATAAATGCACATGATATTGTTTTTTTGTTTGAGAATAATGCACATGATAATAATGTTATTACTATTTTATATTAGCAGTTGAGGATTAGACTAGTAGTGTTATATAGTTTATCTTATGAAGTTTTTTGCAAAAGCCAATAATGTGATTACACAATGCAAAGTGCAATGAATGTACATGCCATGTTTCACATGTAAAATTTAGATGATCTAATCATGGTTCCCAAAATCATATACGATACATTATTTCATACAACTTACTTTCCATATTAAGATTTCTTTGTTTGTGTACCAATTTCAAAGGTTGCAAATCAAAATATGTAGACTGGTACAATTATGTGTGCAACATTTATACACTAATTGTTGTTATGTGCTTTGAAATGAAGTCATCAAACTCATTGTATTGCTTGTGATCGTGGTTTGGTTTCACAAATCTTGATTGTTTTACATGGATGCCCCTCTGCTCCTTCAAAAGCATATTTGGTAATATTAACATAAGGTCTAGTTACAATAGATGTAAATGAGGAGAAGCCAAGTTGATGATTTTAGCAGAATTTGATCTAGGTCGATGGTTCCAAGCAATCCTAAGGAGCTGCCCTGGTCTTGCCACTTTCGGTTGTTTTGAGCGGCGATCAGCTTACTGGTGTTACATAATAAGCCAATGACCCAGAGTTTCCCCACCCATCATCTTTACTGCATCAGTATCATCTTTCTGACACTTGGATTTGAAAGGTTCTTTCCTTGTTACCTTGAGATCTGTACTCTGTAGCATATCTGAGGTTCTCCCATGGCCTTTTGTGAAATCGCTAGGGGGACTCTTTCATGCGGCCGGAAGGATACTGATGATTAAGGACTGTAAACAGGTTTCCAAAAATCCAAAGAGGGCCTACATTTGTCCCATCTGCTACATGTGGACAACACACTGATATTTTTGTGAAACTAATGCTCTGGAGATGGATAACCTTGGCTTTTTTTGAGGTGCTTCAAGTTGTTTTCAGGCCATAAGATAAACGTGGTCAAAACAAAGCTAATGGGCATCTTGGTACTACAGAATAAGATGGCAGAACTCGTCAAATGAATAGGTAAGCTGACTAAATATTTGGGACTGGCCTTATGTTTAGGTAAGCTGCCCAAATACTTATGGAAGGGAGTGATTGAAAGAGGAAATATAAAACTGGACCCACAAAATGAGATTCTTATCTTTTGGGGCAGAATCACGCTTCTAAAGCTACTGTTACATATTTACCATATCATATTCATATTCGTGATGCTGACATCCATAGCTTGCAAGATTGGGCAATTGATGAGAATATTCCTATGTGCAAGGGCATCAGACAGGCAGAAGTTTCACCTAGGTGAATGACAAAAGTTGCGTAAACCATTTCACTTGTTGAAGAGTATCATTCCTGAAAAGTATGGTATCCAAGAAGGTGGCTGGTATGTAAAGGATTGTAAAATTTCAGGGGGAATTTTGAGAGCCTTGAGATGTTTAGTGTTCGATTGATGTTTGTTAGCTAAACCAAAGTGTTACTTTGCAATGGCTCACGAACTCAATTTTTGAAGGATAAATAGTTGGGCCCTGAAACTTGAGGCAGGAGTGTGACTTTTCACCCTTGGTGCAGATTTTATATTATTACCCCATTTCGGAAATGATAACATGAGCTCTATGATGGAAACATCCACTTCACTGATTTTGCCCAGCGATTTGGGCTGGAAAATGCCTCTAAAAGTTAGAATATCGAGTCCGAAGTGTATAGCTTGTAATTAGGTGTGGTTTGGATGTTTCACATCAAGGACTATTCGGACTTTTGGATTTCTTTCTTCCATGTCTTTGGTCTAGATTTAATGTCTGAATGTTTGTAATGGACAATCTAGATCACATATAGGCAGTGTTTCAAAAAGCGGACTGCCCAGTGCCTGGGTGGCCACCTACGCAGATCTGGAGGCCTGGGCGCATCGCCCAGGCCTGGGTGCACAAACAAAGCGTTGGTTCCTGGGCGCCTAGTAAATTGCCCAGCGCCCAGACCTGGGCGGCTACCTAGGTACAACACCCCACCTAGAGGAGGAAAAAACTTTTGGTAGGGGCTATTTTTGTCCATTTTTTTTATATTAAGGGGCCAACAATGGGGGGTTTAGGTTCATTTGAAACCTAAACCTCATTAGAGCCCATTTTAGAGAGAGAAAACCCCAAAAAACTAGTTTTTGGTGATTTCTTTAGGATTGAAGGGTTTCTCAAAGTTATGAGAACTTGATCAAAACATCACCTATTGATATTAGATTTAGTTTTGATGTTTTATAAATCCATTGGTTTTTTTTTTAGAAGATTTTGATTCCTTAGAAGCATCTCTAAGGTGGAAGTTTGGAGATTGAGCAATCAAAGTAAGTGATTTTTTTTATTGCTTGTGTAAGTTTGTAGTTCTACTGGTTTGGTATTTGGTAACTTTGGTTTGGTAATTTGGTTGGTAAATTTTAAGTTTTAATTGGATATGGACCGACTTATGGTTATGCTTATGGAGTGTGTGCTAATGTGTAGTATACTTTGAATTTTGGTATGCCCTAAATACCTAATTCTTATATTTTATACAATAAATAACTGTAGAATCCTTTTTGGATTCAACTGGGCCGCCTAGGTTCTGGGCACCCGCCTAGGCGTTGGGCGGCTGGACCCCCTAGGCAGCCTAGGACCCGCCTAGCGCATTTTGAAACTATGCATATAGGTTAGAATTTGTTTATAAATGGTTTGTGATATAAGGGTGAGATCAGTTTATGTGCGTTTTTCTACTAAAGCTTACCTGGTTTAACTGGAGGGAACCATGGAGCATGGCTGATGAGTTACCATTTCTATTTCAATTTAATACAGCTGGTTGCCTGTTTTCTTTCCTTATTTGTTTCATTTCTCATCATCTGGTATCAGAGTGGGTCGATCCCCAATGTGCCTCAGATGCTGCAAATATGTGTGGTGGCTGCGAGAGGAGTTCAAGGATGTGGCGTGGTGGTGGTTTAGGTCCTATACGAAAGAATTTTAATGACCTTTTGGGGTGATTCGACAAACTGGCACATGAGCTGCGCCAAGCTTTTACCAAGTGGGGTTCGGTGACTTTAGTCATTTATGAGAGTGATGTTTCTGAATTCACAAAGGAAGACCCCTACGATAACTGGGGAAGGGTTGGAGATCCGCTTTCTAACCAACGGAGGGTTTCTGATCTCCTTCTTGAGGAATGCCTGGTGCAAGCTCTGGAAGGGGGCGGATAGATGCATCCGAGTCAACGTACTAATGTTTTTTGGTCGGCTATAGCCACACAACTTCTTAGACTGGATTGCCAGCATTGAAATATTTTTTGAGTGGAAGGAGCTGTCTGAATTGATGAAGGTAACAACTTGTGGCTGCCGGCTTGAAGGTCACACCCTAATTTGGTGGCAGCAGTTGCATGCAAGTCTATCGAAAGCAGAAAATCATGACCTGGATGAAGATGAAATCATGTTTGACAGAAAACTTCATCCCAGTTGATTATGCACAAGATCTGTACCAAAGTTTGCATCACTTGCACTTAAAGGAGAAGAGCATGCAGGAATACATTGAGGAGTTTTACCTGTTGATCAGCCGAAAGGATACCCATGAAAACGACAATCAGCTCATTTCCCACTGTATGGGTGGGTTGAAACTGTCGATTCAAAATGAGTTGATCTTGCATTGAGCAGTCATCATGATAAGGCCTATGTATTGCCTTAGAAGTTGAAGGGAAATTGAAGAGCAGTGCTGCTATTCACTTTTGATCAAGGGTCCTCCTCGGGCACCAGTGGACGTAATACCAATCTAAGGCAGCTCTAGTTGTCTGACCCAAATTTTTGGCCTAGAGATGGGCTGAAATAGCAAAGGGCTTGATCAAGAACATACCTTTTCAAGCTCACGATCAGGGTGTTAGGTGCTATAACTGTGGTAAGCTGGGCACCGCCCTTTTGAATGTCTTAAGAGGCAAGCTGGTATAATCTTTGCGAAGCAGATGAGGATTATGAGGGGATGTTGAGCTGTGACCAATTTATGATGAGGAAGTCGATGATGAACCAGAAGGGGCCGCAACAGAGTAGTATCATGATGAAGGAGAGCTGCTCTTAATCAGGCAGCTATCATCTGCCCCGAATATGGTGGAAGAAGCGTGACTGCCAAAAAAATATCTTTCGCACCAGATGCACAACCCAAGGGAAAGGTCTGCACCGTTATCATTGACAAAGGTAGTTGTGGTACCATGGTGTCGCAGGAGATGGGGGACAAGCGCAAGCTGATGTGAGAATAACACCCTAAGCCATAGAAGATCTCCTGGTTCAAATGGCATAATGAAACCCATGTTAACCATTGCTACTTAGTTAATTTTACTATTGGAAACACCCATTAGGAGTCCATTTGGTGTGATGTACTTTCTATGGATGATCTTCATATACTATTGGGTCCTCCATGGCAGCATGACTGTTCTGCTATACACCATAGGAGTCATAATACATATACTTTGTGGAAAAATGGTGTTAAGATCACTTTTTCCTTTTAAGAGGATATCCAACCTGAACCCAAGAAAAGGGAAGGTGAGGAAATGCACTCTGAAATTTTAGTTAAAGTAATGAAGTAACATTCATCATCTAAAAAACAAAGAAAAGAAATATCAAAGCATGCTTGTTCCTTAAGATGATTTCTGAACTAATGATATTTTGTCCGAGTTAATACAAGTTCTTACAAGCTCTTTTGTAAAAGAATCTGTTAAAAAGAATGATTCAGCTAGTTTAATCTGTTTGAATAGAATAAATTATTTTTTTCTATTATGAAGTACCTTAGTCTCTGCCTTTTACTTTATTAATTTGGTTAGGTTATAGGCAATCCCACCTAGAGATGTATCTGGCAGCAACCTGTGCACCCATAAGGCTATCAAAGATAGTATGATAAACTTTCGAAGTAAATCTTAATGCTTGCCTTAACATTCACTGTTGTAAAAAAGCTCTAATAGATTTTTATTGGATGTCTAATATTTTACTATTGTGAGGCAGAAGTCTCTATTTTACTTCTCTTACTATTTGAGCATGATACTTGGGGGAAATTCTTCATTTAGCAGGTCTAACCTATTTCATTCACATCCTATATGCCATCATTTGGCTCATATGACTGCTTATTTATCAGGGATCATCGTCTAGTAAATTGGGACTGTATCTTGCGGACAGCCATCTCTGACATTGAGGTATAGTATATAAATGAAATGCTATATTTCCAGGTCAGGAATCTTTTGTTTTACAAGAATCACCAAGTCAAATCTGTTTATATATTGGTTACTAATGTATTTGTATGCTTGTGCCTGTGTGGACATGCGCATGCACCTCATATGTTTTCTTTTTTATTTTTATTTAGGTGGACTATAAGGACATTAAAGAGCGAACACTTCTGAAGGTTCCTGGATATGACAATCCTATCGAATTTGGTGTTTTGACTTCTTTTGCATATCCTCTAGATGAGGGAATGGGTGATATAGTTGTTGCAACAACAAGAGTGGAAACAATGCTTGGCGATACTGCTATTGCTGTACATCCTGAAGATAGAAGGTATACTCACTTGCATGGGAAATTTGCAGTTCATCCTTTCAATGGGAGGAAACTTCCCATCATTTGTGATGCAGAGCTTGTTGATCCGGAATTTGGAACAGGTGCTGTTAAGGTAATTGTCATTTGAATCCCTTGGAATTTGTGGTTGTGTATTTGGATGTAATAAGCTTCTGGTGACGAAATTTTCTTTGACTGGTGTCCATAATTTCTTTGTTCTGTTTTAGATTTTTATATCATAATTACCTATCATAACTACTACTATCTTATTGCAGATAACCCCAGCTCACGACCCAAATGATTTTGCTGTTGGAAAACGTCATAAGCTTGAGTTCATTAACATCTTCACTGATGATGGGAAAATCAATAGCAACGGGGGTTCTCAGTTTGAAGGGATGCCACGATTCAAAGCTCGTGTGGCTGTGATTGAAGCTTTACAAAAGCAGGTGATTTTAATCTCTCTTACACTTGATTGATTGGACGTTCATGGAGGGCACAAATATTCCTTTCCCTGACATGAGGTTTTCTGGGTTCTCCTAGTCTATAGTCTTAGTGAAACCACTAGGATCATTATGCCTGCTTCCACTTCCTTCCGATTTCTTGAAAACTCAATCCCTCAACATACGTGCTCTTGGAAGAGTTGAAACCTTGTTTACAGCCTTTTCAGGAAGGCCCATAGTGGCACTCATTCGATTCATCTAATAAATAGACCCATGGTAGTGGGTTTTGAACATTCAACGTTGTGCGTCAGCCAACCACTGAGCAAGGTGTCCAAATCCCTAAACAATTCCCTATTCTTCTTGACTTAATTGTCTTCTCCTAAGACTACTTGGATTATTCTTTCTTGAATGCCCTCTTCTTGTATAGCCTTCCTTTGGCTGGAATGTAGGTCCTCCTATAGAATCATTTGGAGAGGCCAAGGGCCTTCTCCAGCAGAAAGTTAATGGGGAGTTCCTTTGAGGCATTGCGAGGAGTTCTTCTTCAAGTCCTCAAAATCATTTTCTAGTTGTCTTTTTTATCTAGTTGCAATTTCATGGCCTTCAGATTCTATAATGTGAGCTATGTCTTTTAGCATGATTTCCTTAGGGTCTGGGGCTGTTTTGATAATTTTTCTTCACTAATGAAATGGCAGTGGTATGTGAAAATGTAAATAGTTTCTATTTTACTGTTTCATGCTGTGTTAGTTTTCTGATTTCTTATATTTGTACAGCTTCCTCATGCTGCACAGTATTTATTTGTTTAACATTTTTTTCCTTTCTTGGGTTGGGGGGGGGGGGGGGAGGGGGATAGAGAAAGAGAGTGGGTTGGGTTGGAGGTTTGGTGGGTGGTGGCAACCTGCTCTTGGTTTTCTACTGACTGAGGAGAAAAGTCACGTTAGTTCAAACATTAATAGCTAATTTTCAATTACTTTGGGTTGATCATGTTTGACTTCAGATAGTATACTTGTAAATGCACCGCTTTAGTCATTTTCCCATCCATAAAGGGTTGGAGCAGAACAATTAAGGGAGGTTCCACTTTTCTGTTCTGTTTTTCTTGTTTTTTGTTTTTTTTAAGGAAAAATGTTTGATTGTACTATACAATGTTTCTAACTTAGTTCAGGCCTCGGACTAGGCCCTAGCCTGACCCAAGCAACTCGGCTGAGTCCCAGTGCACATGCTAAAAAAAACTAAAAATACAGAATTTAAAGTAAATAAGTAATATACTCATTAAAAGTCTTAAATTTCAGATGTGTATAAAAGATGGATTTTTGAGAAACTTGATCTATACGTTGAAATATTTCAGAAATCAAAATAAGGAAAAAATTAAAAAATGGAGTATGTAACTAGAAGGTTCCCAAATCATCACAGATACCATATAAATCGTATAAAAATGTATTTATAAATCATGTATTGAAGATATTTTACTTGAAGTTTTGAGTTTTAAATGATTTTTAGCAGGGAAGAGTTGGCCCTTGGAACTCGCCTTGGCCAGAGGCTGAGGCCGAGTTATCGCCCCAGTTCTTGAACACTGGTATTATATAATTGATTTAATTACAAGGCAATCAAATCTTAAGGTGTAGTGTCAACCTAGAACAACATTACTTAGGAGGTCTGATTTGGTTCAAGTGCAATGCTCTAAAAAGGCAAGGTAAAGGCCCCTAAGGACATATATGGAAGCAATGGCAAAGATAGAGTGACTTATGGTTTGACTGAGGGTATGACCCTTAATAGAGTGGAATGGTAGAATAGGATTCGTGTAGTTGACTCCAAAAAATTAGGATAAGGCTCGGATGATGATATTGATGAATTATAAGACAATACAAAGTAAGGCTGCACACATGTCGGGAGCTCCTATATAGAAAAGGCTGTCTACAAATAGGGAGCTCCTTTACAAAAAACGTTGGGGACCCACAAGGCCAAAGATAAACATGTCATCAAGGGAAGGGAAAGGACAAAGGGGTTGGAGGAAAGATGAAAAGCTTGAGAGAGTAATAGGAGACATAGAGCATACAGAAAGGAAGGACAGAGGCTAGGTCTGCCGCCCCTGCCCCTGCTTTGGCCAATACATAATCTGTTAGGTTCGACTCACTATAGACATAGCAAAAGGTCACCATTATCTCCCTGCCCATGTAGAAGATATGGTCGAGGCGCCAGGGGCAATCAGCTCTCTTGGATGCCATGCAATAACTTTACTAGTTTCATGGAGTGAAATGAGGTCCAGGAAACCCTTTTCAGGCCTTTAAGGAGAGCTATGGATTCTACTATGTGGAATCTGCGTAACCTATGGACTGTGTGAGAGTAGAATTCCTTCATGGTAGTCCCTCATGACATCCCCTATCGCTACTGGTCCCTGATTAACTATAGAACATTCATCTCTGTTGAGCTTGAGTGCTCTGGGGGTTGGGGTAGTCCATGAGGGGACTGTGACCAGTCTATGTGGCATGAAGAGAAGAATATCCTTCGAGCTCTTTAGGATGCTGCAAACCAAAATATTTTGAATGTGTTATCATTGGCCCAAAATATAATTTTGTATTTGATGTCATCTTGGAGGCTTTGGGTGGATGAGGTCTGATGCAGTATAAAATTTATTGGCAAATACCACCCGGCAAAAGTAACCACATTTAAGAGAGAAGTAAAAAGAAGGAAATCACAAGATAAAAGAAGAAAATGCGCGGATATGAGTATTCCGGCACAGGTCCATAAGCAAAGGAGAAGAAATAAACACCCACAAAGGGCTCTTTCTCTCTCTCTCTCTCTCTCTCACTCTACACGATCACAAAGATCACTTTTTTTTTCATTAAGAAAATTCCATCTCTCCTTTACATAGCACGTGCTCCTTCTAAAGGAGTTCGGCTTCACCAAAATGATAACTCTCTATTTCCATTCTTCTATCCAAAGATAAGAGCGAATACAAAAAGATATAAACAAAACCGCATTACATTCCTAAGACTTCTATTCACGTAACTTTCCTTCTACCAAGATTTCCCTTATGATCATGGTTCCTAAAAACATATTTCCTAAAAACAAAACTTCTTTTCTAATAGATAACCAATACACTTTAATTGCTATCAACTAAAAGACGTATCCTCCTAGTAATCTCCAACTCTATCTTATACTCACTAATAAAAGACCATATCACGTGCAAGCCTCTCTAATACTCATGTAAACCTCAACTCTATCTCTCCTAAATAAATCCCACTTAGAAAATACGGACATATTCCTAAATAAATCGCACCAAAAATATGGTTCAACTTTCCTAAAGAAATTGTACCTAATGATATAAAAAAACTTGCAAAAAAAAAAAGATTTAATCAAACTAACCTAAAAATCCTATTTTTAACAATTAACGGTAATAACTAAAAATAAAAAGTCTACCCAATCTCTAAAAATAAAATAAATAAAAATAAAAATAAAATTTGTAGCCACCAGATTTTGATCTGCATCAAGGTCCCTTTGAAACTTCATTTTATTTCTCTCTCCATATTGACCATAAAGTGGTCATGATTGAGACTCTCAATAAGAAGAGACCCATCTTGGCATACGGAGGGCAGAAGAAGCCTTGACAGATCCAAATAATGGATTTGGGGGTGGTCTATTTCCATTCGAAGTCCTACAACAGTTGGGACCAGAGAAATAAGGCCACCTCACAGTTTAGAAATAGATGATCCAAGCTCTCATCGTTTTGAAGACACACGACACACCAATTAGCTAGATGTTGTTCCCTACGTTTTAGTTGGTCTCTGTCAAAGTTTCAGAAAATGCTAGGTTGCCGGCCTAGCCTAGGCTACCCAGCGCATAGGCTGGAACCTAGGCGCGTATAGAACTTCAGAAGCCCTGAGGTGACATTTTTTCAGAACTATGCATATATGTGCTGTCCAAACGCACATATATCCAGATATTTCTGTCAAGTTTGTACTTTTTTTTGCATTTATATGTATTCGAACTAACTTATTTATGCAAATATATACACATGGATGTTGAAAGTTAGCACAAAAAAAGTTAATTGATTTAAAAGAAAAGATTAAAAAAAAATGTTCAAAACTTCAAATCATTAAAAATTTAATGAAAACCATAAACAAATCCATACTTCATAGTATGTTAGTCTCAAACTCTTTGTACTCCATAGTGGCATACAATCATCATACAGTTACACATAAACCAAGTCTCCTATATGACCAATACAAATTGATTCAATATAAAAGATAAGATGAAATACAAAATAAAAAGAAAAAGAGTAGATATTCGATTCTTTAAATCAACAATTCATCCCAAAAATCTTAAAATACACTCACTAGCATCCAAAAAATAATTCCAATAAGACTGGGTAAGCTTTTGGATGATTCTTTAAACGTTACAATTTTTTCTTGATTAAATTTTTTAAAAAAAACAACATTTTTTTTGTGTTTGTAGGGTTTAGGATTGAACGTTTTTTGAACTCCGGGGGTTTAGAATACCCCTAAATATCCTTTTTACCCTATTTGATGTGTCAAAAGACCCAAAATGCACTTCACGGGCAATGTTTTTTATCAAAATAAGGCCCGGTTCCTTGGCGCTTGCCTGGCTCGCTTGGGTGGGTGTCCAGGAACCGGTGCCTGTAAATGTCTGCCCACGCTAGGCAAGGCAGCCTAGGCCCCTTGGGCGCATAGCTACCTGCCTATGGGCTGGGCAGGCCATTCTGTTGGAGTCGAAGAAAAGATGAGCTTTTATAAAACTAACCCAAACTTTGACTTTTGGAAATTTTTGCTCAGACCACTAAATAATGTTCAAAGGTCATTTGGTGTTAAACTATTGTATTTGTCAAGGAGTAGGTTTTGCTAGACAGTTAGGGGTTTTCTCTGTATTTTATATTATTATCATCATTATTTTAGCCTTTTCCCAATTAATTGGGTTCTGCTAAGGGGCCGTAACCCGGTGCTGGTCCCACCTAAGCAAGGTCCAGGGAGGGTGGGCCGGAAATGGCCCTAACCTTTGACTTATGCACAAAGTACCTGCTTACTGGACTCGAACCCGTGCTCTTGCATCGGCTACCCGAGCCTTTTACCAGAGTTTGGCTATTCACATCACCTGTTTTTGTGCGTCTCACCCATAGCATGGTTACATGGGAATATAAAAAATACTGGCTGACTAGGGTGGAAACCCATCGCTTTTTCCTTTTTAAAGGATCTCTTAACAAAGAAATATGAGAAATCGATGGCTGTATTTCATGGGTGTCTTTTAAAAAGAATGAATTATGGTCTTTAGCTATTACTTGTATTTCATCCCTTTCCTTTTAAGTCTTAAAGATCAAATACGGGGAATCACAATACTTCATTTCTCAACTGCTTTTTAAGTAGCCAAAATATGGGTATTTCGACTACATATGGTTTGCCCTTTTTTATTCTGAAAGGAATGTGGGTAATTGAACTGTTTTTTACCCTGTCAAAAAATACCTGTGTTTCACTACTTTAGCCTGTTAGCACAAGTGTATTGCATTACCCTTTTTTCATATTTAGGATTCATTTTTATTTTACAAGTCAGGCAATAATGTAAATTGCCCCTCTAAAAGGTCCAAAAATTAGCACATAGGTGAGCTATGACTTTTATTTTCTTATACTTGTACTATGGATATCTATTGTCTTAAAAAAACAGATCATATAGGATTTTCTTAAAGATCCCTTTTGTAATTTAGGGAAGTCATTTTCCTCCTATAAACAAGTTCTGGATGAAGTTTGATTTGAGATGATCAGAAATTACTTTATCAACCTGAGAAAATAAATCCATACTTAAAGTGCAGTCTCTGGAATATTGGTAACTTTTTCTTTTTGTCATGCTTCTACATCTTCTTGTCTGGAAGCTTATGAATTTGTGATCTTCTAAATTAAATATATAAAAAAGAATATCAGTCAATAAGATGAAAAAAAAACTCTACAAAATTTTAAGTTGGCCATAGAATGGAACTGAGTACTACCTAATTAGTTTTACATCTACAAATTTGGTGCATTGTTTTGTATTATATCATTCTTGATGTTGACTTATAGTGGCAGGACCACTCTTGAGCTTGTTGGCTTCCCACTCATCCATAATTTCCTCTATTGGAATTGCTGCAACATTGCTAAATTCCTCTTTTTCATTCATTCAGGGACTTTGCAGAGGTGCTCAAAATAATGAGATGCGCCTTGGAATCTGTTCAAGAACTAACGATGTTGTGGAACCAATGATAAAGCCACAGTGGTTTGTTGACTGTGCTGACATGGCAAAAGAAGCTTGTGATGCTGTTACTGATGGAAGAATTGAGATCATCCCGAAACAATATGAAGCTGACTGGTTCAGGTCCGTGCTCATATTCTTTTATTTCAGATTATCCTTTTACTTGTTGATAAGATTCTGTGATAGCAGTGCGTTGATACTCATGGATACTTTGAAGCAGTGTTCACAAAATTGAACCGAACGGTTGACCGGACATTGGCCCAGAAGCGGTTTAACCGGCCTAACCGGTAAACCGACGGATTCAACCATTCTAACCAGGCAAGTCCCTGGCGGTCAAAAAAATGTTGAAAAAATAAAAAAGAGAAAAAAAAAACCTACTAAAATGTGAAAAGCATATAAAGAATGATCAAAACAAAACACATTCAAAAGAATTTGAAAATTAATGAAAAAAAATGGATTTTAACGAAGCGATTTTTGAATTAAAGTGAGTATTAATGACCAAAACAATTTTTAATCTTTACCATAATGTAAAGAATATGAAAGAGCGCACTGCAAACCAAATTTCTTACTTTCAAGAATTTATATACATTTTTTTGAATTTTTTTTAAATACCGGTTGATCACCAAAACCGCTCAAAACCGGAACCGACCAGTGGCCGGTTCCGATCTAACCGTGCAGTTTGCGGTTAGATCACCCGGTTTTTCCAACAGTGCTTTGAAGACATATTACTCAAGTCTCTGTTTGTTCTTACTTGTTACTGTATTGGTCTTTTACATATGTGATTCTCCTTTTCAGAAATTTCATTTGACCACCCATTTACTATAAAATAAGGATTTTGTCCTATTCTTACCATTTCTAATGTTATTGACACGTGATAATTTGCGGACTTTAAATATGCTAGCAAATTGCTTTGCTTAGAGATTATACCCATTAAGAAAATTGAAATTACAGATGGTTGAAGAACATCCGAGATTGGTGCATTTCTAGGCAACTTTGGTGGGGCCACCGTATTCCAGCTTGGTATCTAACCCTGGAAGATGACATGATAAAGGAATTTGGGTTCTACAATGACCACTGGGTCGTTGGGATAAATGAAAAAGAAGCTCAGGCAGAGGCTAATAACTTGTTCCCTGGGAAGAGGTTTTATCTTGCACAGGATCCAGATGTGCTGGACACTTGGTTTTCATCTGGACTTGCTCCTATTTCTTCATTGGGTTGGCCAGATGATACGGAGGACATGAGGGCATTTTATCCAACTTCTGTTCTTGAAACTGGGCATGACATTCTCTTTTTCTGGGTTGCTAGGATGGTTATTCAAGGAATGAAACTAGCTGGGGATGTACCTTTTAAACAAGTGAGTGGTAGTTTTAGCTTTTACTTTCATACAAGTTATGTTGAGAATTTTCTCCTTTTTTTTGGCCATCTTGTATCAATGCGGCCTTCCCTGCTACATACACGTTATCCAGCCACATTTGCTTGCACTTGATGGTATGGGGAATTGGGGATGACTGGTATGCTGTGTTATTTGATGCTAGATGACTGGGCAGGATTTCACAACTTTGAAGTTTCAACTGTTAACAGGTGTACTTGCATCCTATGATACGTGATGCGCATGGCCGAAAGATGTCCAAGTCCTTAGGAAATGTGGTTGACCCACTTGACGTGATAAATGGAATTACCTTGGAGGGTCTGCAAAAAAAGCTGGAGCAGGGTAACTTGGACAAAAATGAGTTGCTCGTTGCAAGAGAAGGACAGGTGAAGGACTTCCCCGGTGGAATTGCTGAATGTGGAGCAGATGCTCTTCGTTTTGCCCTTGTCTCATACACTGCTCAGGTCGTTCTCCTCAATATCATAAATGTCCCATATAAAATTTTGATATTTTGGTCTTCAGAATCAGAGTGGTTATATGGTGCTTGCCTTAGATGTTGACATAACTAATGTCATTCTTTGTTCAAAAGGGCATGCCTTTGTAAGTTGTAAGAAATACTCTGGCTAAACTTCCCAATTTCTGCCATTTTGCTTCTCAAAATTAGAAGTATTGTTATTTTTTAAGGAAAGAATGAAACTGGACTTCTGGTTTGGTTAAAGTTCCGTTTAAGCCAAAAGTGTCTTGAGAAATTTACTTAAACCTTAGTTTTTTGCATTTTTCATTCATGTACCAATAAGTTTCTTGGCTTCTGTTGTTTTGGCAGTCAGATAAGATAAACTTGGATATTCAGAGAGTAGTTGGGTATCGTCAATGGTGCAATAAGTTATGGAATGCCATCCGCTTTGCTATGAGCAAACTGGGAAGTGATTATATCCCTCCTGAGAAGCTGGTGATAGAATCTTTGCCCTTCAGTTGCAAGTGGATATTATCAGTTCTGAATGGAGCTATATCCAGAACCATTTTAGCCCTTGAGTCTTATGATTTCTCTGGTGCGACTAGTGCTGTTTACTCCTGGTGGCAATACCAACTATGCGATGTGTTCATTGAAGTTATTAAACCTTTGTTTACCTCTGATTTGAAGTCAGAGTCCTTAAAGAAGGCAACAAGAGACACATTGTGGGTTTGTCTTGACAATGGTTTGCGTCTGCTTCACCCTTTCATGCCATTTGTCACAGAAGAGCTATGGCAGCGCTTGCCCCAACATGCTGGGAGTATATCAAGAAAAGAGTCAATTATGATGTCTGATTACCCATCTGTTGTAGAGGTTTGAACCATTTGATCAATTCATTTACTCATTGGAAGTTAGATTAGTGTCGTGTATAAAGCTTCCTATTTTTTGTTTATATGTGTGCGTAAAGTCTCCTGAAAATAGTTACGCCAACTTCAATAAATTATTGGTCGTGGTACACAAGCATGATAACATGGTTATTGTACTTCTTACGTCTCGGCAGGAATGGACTAATGAAGAAATTGAAAATGAGATGAATCTTATCGAATCAACTGTAAGATCAATCAGATCACTCCGGACGCTGTTGCCTCCAAATGAAAGGCATGAAAGGTATAGATGGAGTCCTTTTCCTTTTTTTATTTTGTATTTTTTACAATTTACTTATTTTTTATTGTAGTTGTTTCACATCTTCTATTTGTTTCTGAGGCAAGTTCTCCTTTGAATATTTTGTTCAGGCGACCAGCTTTTGTTCTGTGCAAGACAAATGCAGTGGCTGGTATCATTAAACAACATGAGTTGGAGATTTCAACCCTGGCAACCCTATCATCTATAAAGGTGTTGTATGGAAACCCTTCTGATATGTTCTTGTTGAGATCTAGAAGCCAATTGAGGTGACTGTTGGCTCAATTTAGGACTTTGGGTGTGTGTGGGGGTTGTGTTAGAATGCATATCTCTAGTGACGAACTGCAACAACCTACTCAAGGTTCAAAAAGGTGGAGGCGGCCGCCTGGGCAGCCAAGGGTAGGACCACCGATACAGGCACCCAGACACAAAGGCGAGCAGTTTGTATCACTAAGGGAAGGTTGGAGAGGGGCCATATATTTTGTGTGTATGTGTTTTGTGAATGCATGTGTGTTTAGTGTGTGTGTGTGTGCATGCGCACGTATGTGTGCTTGCATGGAATTCTTAAAGATCATCCTCTTTTTTTCTTGTTCTTTTTTTTTTTTTTCTTTTGGATCTGTATTTGTGAGAGAGAGGTCTCGAACACTTGAAGGATATGTTTGAGAGAGTTTGACAGAGAGACCTCACATCGATCACTTGGAGGCCATCTTAATTTTTTCCTTTTTCTTACATTGAAAGAGGGAGCATATGGGGCCATGTGTATCTTTGTGAGTGTGTGTGTGAGAGATAGGCCACACATCAAATACCTGGAGTCCATCTTCTTCTTTTTCTCATATGTAGAGAGAGCACATGGACCCGAGAGAGATATAGAGAGAGTTCATCTTTTTTCTTTTTTTTCTGAAAGGGATACCCGCCTTGAGCTTGCCTAGGCGCCTAGGCCCCCACCTTAGGATGCCAGCCCAGATCCCACCACCTAGGCTATGCCTAGGTGGTTTCTCGTCCAGGCCACCTAGGCGGCAAGGCGGCCGAATTTTCATTCACTGAACCTACTCAATTTGTTGGATGAGAAATGCCCGTGCCCATTGCATGTGGCTTTAGTGAAGGTAGTTTTGAAATGGATTAGTGTTGTCCTGACACCCCATTCTTCTTTGATGTTATGTTGCCACATGTTGGCACTTCCGCATTTCGGGCCGACATTCCATTGGTACATGTCAGAGGTGTTGGGACACTAACAAAGTGGTTGACCTCCATGTCCGAAGTGTCTGATAATAAGAAACAGCGTCTTATTTGTTTCTGTAATAGAGGAGTTGTGTTGGTTGTGGGATTTGAACTTGTGGAGAGGAAAATCCCACATTTATTGAATTTGCATAAGACCTAGTGCAGAAATTTGAACATGTGATTTTGATTGGGTATGAAATGATCTTGAGCCATTACTGGTCATGGGCCCATTTTACTGAAGTCACTTGCATCATAAACATTCCTCTAATTTATTCATTCTAATCATCATTGTCAAAGCCCCTAAGTCTGCACTCTCTCATCTTATCGCCTATTATCGCCACACTTAAATTTTATTGAATGCATTCATTTTTAATTCTATTCGTTCTTGTCTTACCACTCATCCATCTCAACATCCTCATCTCCGCTACACTCATTCTATATTTTATATTTTCGTATGTTATGTATTATTACATATGGAATTCTTGTCTCAATCTGGGGGTTCTCAGTTAAATAACCATATTTCTGTAAAGATTAACTTGTTGCAAAGGATAGAATTGGCAACATAATACCGATATATATATTTGTATCTGGCTTTGACCCTACTGTAATGGGTACCCTTATTATCTTTGTTAATATTCTTGATGATATCTTTTGATATTACCTTTTATCATAAAGTTCAGCATTGTCACCATAATAGCCCTACTATTATTCATTTTCTAAAATAGCTGATTTGGTCAAACCTGTGCAGTCAAATTTCAGAGTTTTTTTATATCTGCATGGTTAGTCATTTTTATTACTTCTTGCTCATAAGGTTGTATTTAAATTCTGTTTGTAAGCCAGTGAACACACTTGTTTTTCCTTATTTATTAATAACGAAAAAGGTGGGTTCTAACTTCTAATAATTTCTGTGCTCATGACATGGACTATTTACAGGTTTTAACGGAAAATGATGCCACCCCAGTGGGGTGTGCAGTTAACATTGTGAATGAACACCTCTCTGTTTATCTGCAAGTACAAGGATTTTTAAATGCAGAAGCTGAACGCGAAAAGCTCAGGAAAAGAAAGGAGGAACTACAAAGGCAAGTCTTTTATATTAAACGTTGAATATAAATTTTAGTTTCTGATCATCTGATTGTCATGGGATCAGTAGTATTTGGAAGGATAAACTATGAAGACGAAAGATAGTGCAATTCTAGAAATTGAAGTATCTTTTTTTTTGCAATTAAAAAGAAAAACCTGAAAGTCTCATTCTTTGGTGCACCCCCAGTGAAAAGTAACCTTCTCTACAGCAACTAAGCTGGGTCCAATGTTTTCATAAACTTCTAAGCTCATGTGAGTTAAGCTTTTCTAACATGAGTTTTATCAGGGCGCACGAAGATGAGATTCAGAACTCGTTTATTTGAGCTCCTTCTAACTCCAATTGAGTCGGTCAACACCACTCAACTTTGCTTGAGTGGTCGGACCTATCGGTTGAACTAGTTGGATTGGGAAGCAGGCGTCGAACAAGTCTGGGTTGGTTTTACAAAAGAAAATGCCATTTAAGAGGCCATTTGTTCAAATCATACTGAATTGGATTGAACCAAACTTCTGAACAGTATGAACCAGACACTCATTCCAGTAATCTTTCTTGATTGGTTATGATGTTGACCATTGCAAAACTGTGCACCAGCTTCGAATCCTGCTGCTACCTACCAAAAACATAAATAAACAAAAAACACCGCTAGCGACCAAAAAGCATAAATAATTGAACTGGTATTATTGTTTGTCGAATAGATAAAATGGATTGGACTGCTGTTGAAAGGGGGTTGAACGTTTGTATTTCTTCTTTGTTTGCTGAGAATATTTAACTTTGATGAACTGAACCAGCCTCTTCTCGAGTTTGACCTCCATATTTGATGGCTGATGGGACATGTCCAAGTACCTGAGGGTGAAAATGCCAACAATGATTCCTAAGCTATGAACTGAAGTTTGAGGATATATAGTTGATGACTATCTGGGGTTTGATCCTTATGTTGCTTTACTGTCACAACTGAGTTCACCCTTGACAGCCTCTAGAAAATGAAAGTTATTTGGACTATGTAAAATATCCCTGTTCATTGAAGCAATTTATCTTTCTTTTGTTTCCAAAATTTGACAAAAGTAAGTTAAGTAATTCATGTTCATTTAAGCAATTTATCTTTTGTTGTTTCAAAAATTTGACAAAGTAAGTAATGTAATATATCTTTCTTTGTTTGAAAATTTCACAAATCTTTTAAATATTACTCCCCATTGAGTATTTGAATTAACAAATGTGAAGTGCTCTTTCATTTACTTACTAGTTAATATTTGAGATATCAGCAGATGTGGCTCACTTTTTTTTTATTTTCTATTTTTTGGCAGTTTTAGATTACTGTATGTTTGAGTCTGTAAATAGAATCATGTCATCTGGGTCTCTTTTCTTTCCGAGTGTTGAATCTTTAGAATTTTCTGGCTAGAAAGCATGGTATTGAAGTTTAGTTACAAGTGCTTTGAGTTATACATTTTCTCTTTTTATGTATAAGCTTCTTAAATTGAACTTCGTGCAAGGTATAATTTGCCGTTGGAAATCCCACTTGAAATAGCTTTCTATATCAATCTTTCAACAAGACTCCATTATGCTAAATTTCTGTTGGAGATCTGGGTTGTTTGATATGCACGAGAAGATTCACATTGCTATAATTTTTTTTTGTTTTTGAACAAAAAGTTTGTTATAGAAATTTAAAGCTTCGTCTGCATGTCAGAAAATTCTCTTGCTATGAATTTGCTATCCAATATGATGCTGTGTTTGTTTTCCAGGTGATGGTTGTTTGCATAACTAGAAGCTGATGTTTATCATCAACTACATGCCTTCTTTAAATTACTTTTGTAAATAGGACTTCCTCTCAAGTTACTGTGTTTACAATGGTCTTAGATGTATGTTACTATTTAAATAGGCTATCTTATTCGAGTTCTTGCAGAGAACTCATTGTCCTTCAAATGCATGACATGCATATCTTCAATGTGTTTACTTGAAGAATACCATATTTTACCTGGCAATTTCTTCTCATCCAATATATATATAAACAAAAGAGCCTGGGCCTAACTGACGGTTGTGATGGTTGCTAGCAGACATCAGGAAAACTTGGCACAAAGGATGTCAGCTCCTGGTTACGAGGAAAAGGTTCCCCAGCACATTCAGGAGGACAATGTTGCAAAACTAAATAAGCTTATGGGAGAACTCGAGATTGTGGAGGAAGCTCAGGCTAACTTGGATCATACGCTTGCAGATGGAAACTGAGGATGCTGGGGATTGAAACCACTAACAATTGTTTCCACAGTAGTCGGTTGCATCCCCATTCTTGACTATTTTGTTCAGATTTTGTCCTTAATTTGAGAATAATTATTTTTCCATTCTTTGATGATTATGAACAATTATTATTGTACCAGAGTAGTAAATTATTTACCAAGTATATCTATTGGGAAAAGATTTTTGATTGTCTGAGTCAGAAATGGTTGTGCATCTATCTCTCTCTCTCTCTCTCTCATAATATAAATGGACCCGAGTTGTGAATTCAAATTAATATTCTCTTCCTAGATGTGATTTTGCATGAAAACCATCACGTAGGAAAGTGGAAAAGAAAAATGGGACAAACCAGAAAATCATTAAATTTGAACTATAGAGCAAGTGTACACCCTTTCCCTTCTCAGAGTCGATAGTTCAAAAATTGTTTTCTTTGGGCCGAAATCAATTACTCCCTATAATAAAAAAGAGAAGTGATTTATGATATAAAAATAGGAAAAGTTTATATAGAGCTGAGGATCTAAACAATCAAATTCAAGCCTACTTCAAAAATTTTACTAGAAGAGGTTGTTTTGATGCCTAAATATCCTCAAATTGATCATACCGACATCAAGATGCATGGACATAAAAAAAAAAAAATGGATATCAAGTTTTGGAAATAGTGTATTTTGTAACACATTTTTGAACCGTCAATTTTAAAGATTTTTATAGATCTCTCGATCTATGAAAACTATTTTTTATGCTTTAAATTATATAAGGAAAGATGAAAATATCTTTTAAGGTTATCACAAATATTTTCAGTGTTGAAACCACATTTTTTGAAAAATAATTGACAAAGACTTAAGAAAGGGATTGTATAACTGTGAAACTATTTATTTTATGTATTAGGTCACAAGTGCACATAACCATCCAATGTAAAATTTGACAGCTTATCACCAAGTTTGAAACTTTTCTTTTGAATTTTGTGCTTAGATATCCAACGTTCAAAAAATAATTGTGGTCCTCATATACCAAATATAAATTGGTCTTATTATGTACTTCTCCATTAACAAAACAAAAATTATCTAAATAACCTCAAACTCAATTTTAGTATCCATGAAAGTTAAATAAAATAAAAAGCAAAAAATTACCTCGATGCATTATTCTCTCGGGGTTAGATTCCTCAAGATTGTAAATTCAAAAGTTAAATCGTAGGCTTTCTTTTGCCACCATATTGGTGTACTCTTGGATGCTCATCTTACACATTTACTTCAACGTTTTTTTAGCTGAAGTATATAATTCATAGTGTATACTCTTTGGTCGTTCATAAGTATGTTGTCCGACTTTATTACATGGATAAAAGTGGCCTTGCAGTTCATTTGATCTCTTTCCTTGTTTTCTTTTTTTGAATTTTGGATGGTGGAAATCCTCCTTCGTAAACAATCACTTATTGGTGATCCATTGTAATTTGCTCCTGTTAGGTTGCCATTGGAAACGCCTCTCTTTATGTATGAACTGTGCAGAAAATTTTTATCCCTAAGTTTTGCTTGGAGCCCATTAGCATAATGAGCAACCTTTTGTCCGGTGTTCTTAAAAGAAAATTTTGTCCTTTTATCCTAATGCTTCTCATTATATTGAAGAAAGAAAATTTTGTCTTTTTATCTTAATACTTTTCATTATATCGAAGATTTTAGTGGTCTTGAAAGAAAATTTGTTCATGTCTATGAGAAGGTCAAACTTTTTTAATTATTTTTCAACTTCTCTAAGTAAGAAATTTTGGCCTTTTCATTATAAATGTTGACCTTGTTCCACGTGACCGCATCCTAGAGCTTGGTTGCAATAAGTTTGACTTTCGTTACAAAAATTTATTCCACTCAAAGAAACTTTCACCCAAACTCAACTAGTTCATAAAACTATTGATCCAGAGCTTACAAAAAAGTTGAGGGGATGGACATCTCACAAATGATCTACAAGTCGTGGTTTTTGCCTCAAAATTTGTTAGTTTGTTCATTAAGTATGATATCAAGCCGTAGAGCCGGCCATCGAGCTTGATTCATCCCTAGGTCAAGCTTTGGTCCTGGATCTACTGGGTTGTGAGTAGGGTTGGGGCATTTATAGCAGAAAATACCTTGATATAACGTCCCAACCTCCATTCCCACTAATTAGCATATCAAAAAAGAAAAAAGAAAAGAAAAAAGAAAAAAGAGAAACAAGAAGGTGCTTCAGTTGAACTCAAAAACTTTCCCTTTTGTCGTTTAGGAATCATCATGGAAAGCTCGCCTGTGTACTTGCTAAAGCTCTTGCAGGTGCATCAACTGAAGGCACAGAGGACGTCGGGCCTACTAATGAAAGCACTACGGATCACCTTCAATCCTCACATAGGAATTAATCGAGACACCTCCATTGAAAGATAGGTGAAACATATGTTAGTCTCACCTGCTTGGCAACTTAGTTTGCATGATCCTCCACAGCACCTTCAACTGCGGTTTTTTCGAATCCCACAAAAATCTCCAATTAGGACACTGCCCTAGG